CTGCCGGGTTGTGTGCCAGGTCCCCAGTGGAGGCCATGTGAGAGGCAACCACGCATTGATATTACTCTCCCTCACTTTCTCCCTCCGTTCCCCTTTTTTAAAAAAGAAATAATTGATTTGGTTTGGTAGAACAATATGCCTAGTAAAAAATTTTTGGCCTTCCAGACTCCCTTGCAGCTAGGATTGTCCATGTGAGTCAGTTCTGTGCAATTTCACATAAGCAGGAATATGACAATTGGACCTTCAAGGAAACTATTATTTTCCAGATAATTGGGTTCATAATCAGTAAAATTTTTACTATTGCTCCTTCCTCTGCTCCCCACATGCAATGTAATCTCAATGTGTAAAAATAAGAGGCACAACCTGTGAGAGTGAGGGGAGAAGTCCTCAACTTAGGATGCAAAACATGAAGAAAGAGAGCACTTTAGATGTTTATAATACTAAGGAGGCCTGCACTGGCTCTGAACCACCCACCTCTTGCCTTCTTGCTGCTTGAAAAGAAAAAGCTTCTATTATTTAAGTTGTGTGTTCTGTGAAGCTAATGAAGTCCCTAAGTATTGCAGGAAACAAATTATTTGAGTTTGCAGTTGATATTACCAATGTCCCACATGTTTGTAATAAGGTTTATTGTTTTAAATGGTAAACTGACTTTGTGATGTGAAAAATGATATGATTTACTAAAACATGTCCATTTAAAAAAGTATGGCTCTGGCTGATGTGGCTCAGTGGACTGAGTGCTGTCTTGCAAACCAAAGGGTCACTGGTTCAGTTCCCAGTCCGGGCATGTGCCTGGATTGCAGGGCATATGCCTGTGGGTGGCGCGTGATAGATAACCACACACTGATGTCTCTCTCCTTCTCTTTCTCCCTCCCTTCTCTTCTGTCTAAAAATAAATAAATAAAATGTTTTTAATAAAAGAAATATGTGTAAAATAAGAAGGAGCTTAAGCCTGAATGAGCATTTTTATTGCCGAAAAAGAAATATTTTGAAAATATTCCTTTTAACCTGAGTGAAAATTTTATTTCAGGTTAACAATCATAAAAAATGATATCACCCTTGGATTAGGTGGGTCATAATTATGAGATATTTTAGTTCACTAGTTGATCCATTATTGATTTATACCTAGAATCATTAAAGGACATTTTTCAATGAAAGATGGACATATGAGAGTTAAATTAAAATAGAGATAAATTCAATAAAGCATGTTTGAAAGACAAGGAATGATTATAATTGAAAACTAACTCAAGAATAGTGAAAATGGTTAAACATGATAATTTGCTCTGAGATTCTTGTGAGTCAAAGCAAAAAAGAAGCATACTGAGTTACAATGCTCCTTCTAGCTGGCAGAGGAAATGTCCCAGTTTGTCAAAAAAAGACTCTGAAAGGAATTTGTTATATAGATTCATAGATAAGGTACCTCCACTGACAACAGTAACTTGTATTTATATATCACTCTGAAATTTAAAAAGCATTTTTTAGTTTTCAGAAGTTTTAAAAATGTTTTCTTTTTTACTAAATCATTTTTATTGTTATTCTATTACAGTTGTCCCGATTTTCCCCCTTTACCCTCCTCTGACCATCCCAACCTCCACCCCCACCAGTCCCACAGTCAGTTTCCACACTGGTGTCCATCACCATGGGTCATTCATACATGTTCTTTGTCTAGTCCTTTCCCCTCCTTTCCAACATTATCACCCTCACCCCAACCCTCTGGTGACTTTCAGTCTGTTCCATGTTTTCATGACTGTGGTTCTGCTTTGTTCATTAGTTCATTTTGTTCATTAGATTCCTCTTATAGGTGAGATCATATGTTATTTGTCTTTCACTAACTGGCTTATTTCACTTAGCATAATATTCTCCAGTTCCATCCAAAATATCCAAAAGTAGAAGTTTCTTCTTTCTTTCCACTGTGTAATATACCTTTGTGTAAATGTACCACAGTTTTTTGATCCACTCATTTACTGATGGGAACCTAGGCTGTTTCTAGCATTAAGTTATGTAAACAGCATTGCTATGAACATAGAAGTGCATAAGTTCTTTTGAATTGGTGGTTTGGCATTCTTTTGGTATATTCTCTACAATCAAATGATACATTAGAAAAGGATTTGATCTCCAAAATATGTAAAGAACTCATATGACTCAATACCAGGAAGACAAACAGTCCAATTAGAAAATGGGCAAAAGACCTGAATAGACAATTCTCCAAGAAGAACATGCAGATGGGCCATAGGCATATGAAAAGATGCTCAGCATCACTAGCCATCGGGAGATGCATATTAAAGCCACAATGAGATATCACCTCCCATCTGTCAGATGGCCATCATTAATAAAACAACAAACAATGAGGATGTGGAGAAAAGGGAACCCTACTATACTGTTGGTGAGAGTGAAGACTGGTACAAAACATTTTTATTTTATTCTGCAACAACCCAATAACATAAGCAGAGTAGGAATTAAAATTATTCTAATTTTGACTTTGAGTAATTGGCACATGATGCAGTGTGCAGATGAATTTTTGTTGAACTGTAGACCTTGAACTAATATGGTTTTGTGAATCAATGTCACCCAAATAAAGTCAACAGAAAAAAAATGAATAAAATGAAAATACCATTGGAATTTTTTGATGTGGATATCATTAAATCTGTATACTGATTTGGGTAATATGGATATTTTAACTATGTTTATTTTTACAATCTGAACAAAAACTCATAATCACAGACAAATGTATGGTGGTTACCAAAGGGAATGGGGTGTGAAGGGATAGTAAAGGGTAAAGGGGGTCAAGTATATGGTATGGAAGATTATTTGACTTTGGTTTGTGAGTACACATCATCATATATCATAGAAATGTACACTTGAAACCTACAGAACCTTATTAACCAATGTCACACCAGTAAATTTAATTTAAAAGTTTAAAAAAATTATCCTCATTTTACAGATTAAGAACCTGAGGCTGTGAGGCTGATACTATCAGTAATATCCATTAGAGAGTTGAAAATGTGGAATTTAGGGAGGCTGAAAAAATGAGTCTGGGAACCAGATGGGACAGCAGTGTCAAAGCAATTGAGAAACTGTGGAGTGCTCTGACTGGGTGGTGCAGTTGACTCAAACACTGTCCCATATACCAAAAGGATGCAGTTTTGATTCTTGGTCATGGCACATACCTTGTTCGTGGGTTTGATCCCTGGTTGGAGTATGTACAGGAGACAACCAGTCAATGTTTCTCCCTCACATGGATCTCTCCCTCTCTCTGACTCACCTCCTTCCTCTCTCTGTAAAATCAATAAACATCCTCAGGTGAGAATTAAAAGAGGAAAAAGAAAATGCAATCGTGGGGTGAAAGATAAAGGACATGGAATGCATTAAATTATCTACTGAGTCTAAGTTAAGCTGGAGTTTCCTAGAAGACAATAAGGAAACAGTTTCATGCATGAAGCTTGTGTCCAGGGAAAACATTAGGGCTGGAGAAATTAACTGAGAAATCAGAGAGTAGAAATGGTAATTAAAGCCATGGGTTTACTGATATCATCCATGCAGAAAGCACAGATGAGGACCAAAGAAGAATACTGAGAGCTGTCGAAATGTAGTAACCTGACAGCATAAGAGAAATCCACTAATGAGGTAGAGGAGAGGCCAGGTACACAGAAGAAAAACCAGAGGAAAAAGTGGTGAACAAAGCCAAGAGGTCAGATAAAACATGGACACTGGCTTTGCCAAGACCAGGCCACCAGTGGCCTTGACAAGAGACAGAAGAGTAGTGGGCATGACAGCCAAACTGAAGGACATAGAGAAGAGATGGACATCGGGATGGGCGAGAGCACCCATGAATATCTCCCTGACTTATTGTTACAAATGGAAACAGGAAAGTAAGATGATACCTAAGTGCTGCCTTTGAGTCAGGGAATAAGCAAAAAATGTAGAATGGGAATATCTGCCTGAAATATTGCCTCTGTGTGAGAAAGACACCAGCCATCCAAGGACTGGAACAACCAAGGCAAACTCTAGAAGAGCACAATGGCAGAAGAAACTTACTAATTCCTGTTTCTGAGAGCTTGAGATCATGCTTCTGTATTTTTATAAATGTTGGATAATCTGATTTCAAACTAAAAGGACAGTTAGATCAGGAGTGGAAACATAGAAATGACGATCTCAAGGAGGGTTAGCAACAGGGGAGTGGGAGGAGGAGAAGGGGGGAGAAGGTACAGAAAATAAGTAGCATAGACAGTAGATAGAAAATAGATGGGGGGCAAGAATAGTATGGGAAATATAGAATCTAAAGAACTTGAGACGCATGGTCATAAACTAAAGGGGGGTAATGGTGGGGATGGGGGGTTGGGTGGAGGGGAATGAAGGGGGGGAATAGAATAACTGTAACATCATAATCAATAAAAATTAATTAAAAAATAAAAAGAAAAAAAGAAAAAAGTTATATATAGCTGAATAAGATATATTGAATTGTAATAATTTGATGCATGGATTTATAAATATATTAATATATATAATAAATGTATAACTTAACAAATTTTCACAAATTGAACATACCCATGGAACCAGCCCGAGATCAAGAATTAGAAGTTTTTAGTTTCATTTTCAAAGAATACAGTCTATTTGAGATAAAAAATTCTGATGAGACTGAAATAGTGCAATGATTAAATTTTCTTCTTAAGAAATATTTGTGCTCCTCTTATTTTCATTAAATGTAAACGATCTCAAGTTATTCTGGCTAGTTTTATATCAACTTTGTAAAAATGATGCTTATAAGTCAAAAATCAACTCATGAAAGTCATAAATCATAATAAAATTGCTACATTCTGGTAGGTAGATGCATGATGCAGGATAGTAAAAGGTTGATGGCAGAATCTAGGGAGTCAGAGTATCAGAGTTTACTGTAGAAATTTTTCATCTTTGCCACATACTTGACAAACTTCATAATAAAAAATCCTGATTGCTTAATGTGATAATATTTGAGTTTTAATCTCCCCCTTGAAAAAATATAATAGGTGCCTGCTTTGGCAGCACATATACTAAAATTGGAATGATACAAAGAAGATTAGCATAAACCCTCCACAAAAATGACACACAAATTTGTGAAGCATTCCATATTTTCACACCATAAATCCAGGGAGTCAGAACAGATCAATTTAAGAAGCTGAGGCTAACAAGAAGAGTCTCACAAACAATGGAAAGACAAAGAAACAATCCCCAAATGAAAGAAAAGGAGGAAGACTCAGGAAAAATGTTAGATGAAATAGAGGCAAGTCAAATATCAGATATTGAATTAAAAGCCCTGGTAATCAGGTAATTCAAAGAGCTCACAATGAGCTACCAGGAACTACAGGGGAACTACAATGAACTCACCACAAACTATATCAACATGAAAAAGGAAACAGAAACTATCAGCAAAGGCCAAGAGGAAATGAAGAATACAATTTCTAAACTGAAGAACACAGTAGAAGGAATCAAAATCAGGGTCAATGAAGCAGAAGATCAGATACGTGATTTGGAGGACAAAGTAGAAAAAAAGTCCCAGAAAAAGCAAGAAAATGAAAAGAGGTTCAGAAAGAATGAAGAGGGATTACAAGAAATGCAAGACAGTATGAAACGTAATAATATCTGAATAATAGGGATACCAGAAGACAAGAAGAAGAACAAGGAATAGAAAACATATTTGAAAAAGTAATGATGAAAAATTTCCTTCATTTGATGAGAAAAAAAGTCACACAAATACAGGAATCACAAAGAGTCCCAATCAAGAGGAACCCAAGGGGGCCCACTTCAAGACACATCACCATCAAAATGGCAAAATTCCAAAATAAAGAGAGAATCTTAAAGGAGGCAAGGAAGAAATGGAAGTAACATATAAGGGAGTGCCAATTAAGGTTAGCTACTGAATTCTCAATGGAAACAGTCCAAGCAATAAGAGAATGGCAAGGAATATTCCAAGTAATGAGAACCAGAGGCCTGCAACCAAACCTACTTTACCAAGCAAGGCTCTCAATCATATAGAAGGCCAAATAAAGAGCTTCCAAGACAAAAGAAGTCTAAAAGAATATGCCTCCACCAAACCAGCTCTACAAGGAATACTAAAAGGACTGCTTTAAGGAAAGGAAGGAAAAGAGAGAGACAGAGAGGAACACAGGTACACATATGGCAATGAATATGTACTTATCAATAATAACCTTAAACATAAAAGAATTAAATGCTCCAATCAAAAGACATAGAAAAGATGAATGGATAAGAAAGCATGACCCACACATAAGCTGCCTACAAGAAACTCACTTCAGGACAAAAGACCATCACAGACTAAAAGTGAAAGGCTGGAAACAAATTTTCCAAGCAAATGGACAAGAAAAAAAGGCTGGGGTAGCAATTCTCATATCAGACAAAATAGACTTCAAAAAAAGAGCTATAAAGAGTGACCCAGTGACTTCCGCCAAGATGGAGGCATAAGTGGATGTGCAGTGCCTTCTCACACAACCAAGTTTAGAGACAACTAAATATTAGCAACAGAAAACATACCCAGAACACGGAAAATTGAACTTTTCGGAAGTCCATTAACAACAAATTCTTCAGCCTGACTGGTAAGGGGTGAAACCAGCAGCTGGTGAAGTGGGGTTGCACAGGAGGACTCCGTCAGATGGACTCAGGCACGGAATCCAGACACACGGAATCCAGGCACAGGGTTGGACCTAGTGAGTGACCGAGCAAGCCACCAGGCGAGCGACCGCAGGGGAGACGGCGGGGAAGCTGTGCTGTGTGTTGACTGTGGTCGCGCATTTGTGCGCGGGTGGACAGGCGAGGGAGTGGGTGGTTGGACCAGGGCCGGGCGGGTCCCCTCGGCTTGTGGCAGTGGAGGGCACCGCCATTTCCCTGCTCTGACCCCACCTCCACATGCAGCATCGTAACCCAGCGACTCTGAGTGGCCCAGCCCAGGTGAAATACCTAAGGCACTGATCCTCACCCAGCTGTGAGAAACAGCAGAGGGGGCCGCCATTTCCCTGCTCTGACCACGCCCCAACATATAGCGTCACAACCCAGCGACCTGGGAGTCCAAGGCTCCCTTCCTCACACTTAAAGGGCATGAACAGACCAAAAATGGCTCAAGAAGATCTCAAAGCCCCAGAACCTATAAATCTAAGCAATGAAGAAATAGCAAAACTCTCAGATGCACTGTTTAAAACACTGGTGATCAGGATCCTCACAGAACTGGTTGATTATAGCCACAAATTAGACAAATATCTGAAGGTGAAACTAATTGAAATGAATGGAATTGCACAGGAAACCAATAGCAATGAAAAGGAAACTGGGACTCAAATCAATGGAGTCGACCAGAAGAAAGCAAATAATGGCCAAACAGAAAAGAGTGAAGATGCAAGAATTCAAAGAAATGAGGAGAGTCTTAGGAACCTCCAGGACATCTTTAACCGCTCCAACATCTGAATTATTGGGGTACCAGAAGGGGGAAAGGCACAGCCACCAGTGGAAAACTTATTTGAACAAATAATAAAGGAGAATTTCCCCAATCTGGCAAAGGAAATAGACTTCCAGGAAATCCAGGAAGCTCAGAGAGTACCAAAGAAATTGGACCAAGAAGGAACACACCAAGGAACATCATCATTACATTAGCTAAGATTAAAATGAAGGAGAGAATCCTAGAAGCAGTAAGAGCTAAGGGGACAGTCACCTACAAAGGACTCCCCATCAGACTGTCAGCAGATTTCTCAAAAGAGACCTTCCAGGCAAGAAGGGGCTGGAAAGAGGTATTCCAAGTCATGAAATCCAAAGACCTACAACCAAGATTGCTCTATCCAGCAAAACTTTCATTTATAATGGAAGGACAGATAAGGTGCTTCTCAGATAAGATCAAATTCAAGGAGTTCATCATCACCAAGCCCTTATTATATGAAATATTAAAGGGACTTACCTAAGAAAAAGAAGTTAAAAAAAAGATGAACAGTTAAAGGACTGCAAACTCACAGTTATTAACAACCACACCTAAAACGAAAGCAAACTAAAAGGACAGCCAGATCAGGAGTGGAAACATAGAAATGAAGATCTCAAGGAGGGTTAGCAACAGGGGAGTGGGAGGAGGAGAAGGGGGGAGTAGGTACAGAAAATAAGTAGCATAGACAGTAGATAGAAAATAGATGGGGGGCAAGAATAGCATGGGAAATATAGAATCGAAAGGGCTTGAGATACATGGTCATAAACTAAAGGGGGGTAATGGTGGGGATAGGGGGGTGGGTGGAGGGGAATGAAGGGGGGAATAGAACAACTGTAACAGCATAATCAACAAAAAAATTAAAAAAAAAGAGTGACCCAGAAGGTCACTTCATAATACTCAAGGGAACAATCCACCAAGAAGACATTAACATCATAAATATATATGCACCCAACATAGGAGCACCAAAATATATAAAGAATATCTTAGAGGAATTCAAGAAAGATATAGACAGCAACACAATTATAGTGGGGGATTTTAACACCCCACTATCAAAAATGGACAGATCTTCCAAACAAAATATCAACAAAGATGTTGCGGCATTAAACAACACCCTTGATGAAGTGGACCTAACTGATATATAGAGAGTTCTTCACCCCAAAGAAGCTAAATACACATTCTTTTCAAATGCACATGGAACATACTCAAAGATAGACCAAATGATAGGACACAAAACAAGCCTCAGCAAATTCAAGAATATTGAAATCATACCAAGCATTTTCTCTGACCACAAGGGACTGAAACTGGAAACCAACCCCAAAGGAAAAAACCCAAAACACCCAAAATCATGGAGACTGAATGGTATGCTATTAAACAATGAATGGGTCAAGAATGAAATTAGGGAAGAAATCAAAAAGTTTCTGGAAACAAATGAAAATGATCTCACAACAACCCAAAACTTATGGGACACAGCGAAGGCAGTCCTGAGAGGGAAGTTTATAGCAATACAGGCGTACCTATAGAAAACAGAAACATTTCAAACAAATGACCTTACTCTACGCCTGCAAGAACTCAAGGAACACCAACAAAAACAGCCCAAAGCAAGTAGAAGGAAGGAAATAACTAAGATCAGAGCAGAACTAAATGACATAGAGACTCAAAGTACAATTCTAAGGATCAATCAATCCAGGAGTTGGTTCTTTGAAAACATAAAAAGACAAGCCTTTAAGTAGGCTCATCAAGAAAAGAAGAGAGAGGACACAAACAAACACAATAAAAAATGAAAGAGGAGAGATTACAACTGATACCACAGAAATAGAAAGGATTGTGAGAAATTACTATGAAGAACTGTATGCCAAGAAATTTGAAACCCTAGGGGAAATGGACATATTTCTAGAAAAATATAATCTCCCAAAACTCAATGAAAAATAAGTAGAACACCTGAATAGACCAATAACAGCAAAAGAAATTGATGCAGTAATCAAAAAACTCCCATCACACAAAAGCCCCGGACCAGATGGATTCACAGGAGAATTCTACAAATCATTTAAGGAAGAGGTGACCCCCATTCTTCACAGACTATTCCAAAAAATCCAAAAGGATGGAAAACTCCCTAACTCCTTTTATGAAGCCAGCATCATCCTAATTCCAAAACCAGATAGAGATACAACAAAGAAAGAAAACTTCAGGCCAATATCGCTAATGAACATAGATGCTAAAATCCTCAACAAAACATTGGCAAATCACATCCAACAATATATCCAAAAGATTATACACCATGACCAACTGAGATTCATCCCAGGGATGCAAGGATGGTTCAACATTCGCAAATCAGTAAATGTAATACATCACATAAACAAAAGCAAGGACAAAAACCACATGATTATATCAATAGATGACGAAAAAGCTTTTGATAAGGTACAGCACCCATTTATGATAAAAACACTCAGCAAAATGGGAATAGAGGGAGCATTCCTCAATATAATAAAGGCCATTTATGAGAGACCTACAGCCAATATCATACTCAATGGGCAAAAATTAAAAGCTTTTCCACTAAGATCAGGAACAAGACAAGGATGTCCACTTTCACCACTTCTATTCAATATAGTATTAGAAGTTTTGGCCACAGTGATCAGGAAGGAAAAGGAAATAAAAGGCATCCAAAT